GTTGTGGTTGATGTAGTACTAGTGGTTGATGTAGTTGTAGTATCCGTGGTTGAGTTACCCATCGATGTTGTTGTTGATGTAGTACTAGTGGTGGTGGTAGTAGTAGCGGTGGATGTAGTAGTAGTGGTTGTGGTACTAGTACTATTCATAGTTGAGTTACCCGTAGAAGCTGTGCTTGCTGTTGTGTTTGTGAACGTTGAATTCGTGGTAGAATTACTGACTATGTTGTTAAATGCGTTTGTCTCGGTGGGTGCTATAGAAAAGTAAGATAGATGATCGGAAGTATGTGGTTTTAGTTTGCTTACTTGCGCTGTTGCGGATTAATATTACAACTGTTGGAACCGTGACAACAGTGGCGATAACAATGATCGAAACTGCGGCAATAATTATTAGAAGAATTGGATTAGCCATGGGTTTTTTTATTCAGTAATGAAGGAACAAGAGGGTGGATAAATACTTTTTATCTAAAATATTTGTATATGATAAAAGAGTGTTGTGGATAAAGAATTTTCTTTAAGAGATTAATATAAGGACCTGTTGTCAATGATTTTTCATCGAATGTAGTTATGGAATAATTAATGTTAACGTGACGTGCAGAAGTGGTGACTATTAGGCGAATACGGCAGGATGGGACAGGATGTAGATGAGAGAATTTTCGAAATTTTCGTGATAGTTTTGAGGAATCTTTGGTGATTACAATGTTGAGCTCTGATTTGAAAGATTTGGATATTGTCTTTGGTATCACTGTCTTGTAGATAGAAAAGGTTTAGACGTATTCTAACTATTAAAGGATGTGTTAGACTATGTATGCTGTTAGTCGAAAATTATTATGATTGGAAATATTTGATGTAGATTGAACTCTCGGGAATATCATATAAAAATAATTATCTCTTTCTTCATTAATTTAAATAAAAATATATATAGTATCAGAAATTGACGTTTCGAACGTATAACGATCTTTTATAGAATAGGAAATTTATATTTATGGTGAAAAATAGAAAAATTCAACGTTGTTATTGTGTTTTGTTCTATTCATTTTTTTTATCGATTCCATGTAATGGTACTGCGGAGAAGACGGTAAAAACTGGTACGTGGAAGGTCACCATTCTTTTGTGCGTGTTATTAAAAAACAGAATTCAAAGAAAAAAGAAAAAAGTAAACATAACAAAGAAGAGAAAAAACATTGAATTTTTCTATTTGAATCATAAATATAAATTTTCTACTCTGTAGAAGAAAGTTATACGCTTGAAAAGTCAGTTTTTAATATTAAATATTTTTATTTCAATTTATAAAGGAAGAGATAATTACATTTATATGATTCATATAACCGTCCTCAAACACAGTGAATCACGTAAATATGTAGCTGGTAAGTGTTTCTATGTGATTTTTTTTGTTTTGTTTGCGTACTATACGATTTTATACTTTCTAAAACAGAAAAAAACTTCAAAACTTACGTTACGATCTGCCAATATTCATTTATACTGCTAGATTCCTTTTAGACTATGCATTACAATTAAGTATGCTCTAGTGCACATATGAGAAATGCTTCATCATCTATGACAGATTTTAACGAAATGGTGAACTTTATATAATATATATGAAATGCAATTAGTGAGAATGGTAAGCAGAAGAGTTGCTTAGTTTTGATGATTGTTTTAATATAATGACGTCATTAGTATGTTTATGATGTAGAGAAGGAATGAGAATAATGAGTATTGTGTTTGTGAAACCTTTTTATTACGGTCTCAGTTAACATAATTAGTCAGGTGTGTGGAAAACACGGAGGCTGATATATGAAAGAGAGAAAGAAAACATTGTCATAATCGTCGTCGAACGCTTCAGATTATTATATGCTCTTGAAACCTTACCTTACAGAAGCTCCTAAAGCGGGAAAACCCCCACCTATTCTGCTTTTCTCTTCACTTCTTGAGTATTGGGTGAGGGTGAGGGTATGAGTGTGGTTGTTGCTTTGTTGTTTATCCACATGCACACATGTACACCCACACCCTCAGTAGAGCATCAATTTTTTATAGAGTGTATACATCACAGCAGAAGAAACACTAACAACTTTCTACAATAGAAACTTACCCTGACGATAGAAATGAAAATGAAAAATGCGACTGAAAGAACGTTGTATTCTCTCTTCTTAAATAGTTACTTTTCTTCTGATTCGCCGAATCTCCACATTTTGCAGACAGACGAATAACTAATGTAAAAGCAAACAGAGTGAGGGAATCTTACCACGACAACAGAAAAGAAACGAACACTTGTTTTTGATTTATGTTTAGCGAACAAAGAAAAATTCCCATCGACGGTGAAGAATGGTCGTCATTCTTATGTATTTATTTTGTTTTGAGGGTGTGGGTAAGGGTGGGTATGAGTGATGACGAATGGAATACTCGCACGCATCCACATCCACTCACATCAACGCTCACACGATCAGCCGCACCCACAGCCACCCCACACCCCGAACCACAAAAGATTGCAGCTGGTCAAACTTTTATGTTAAAATTTTTTAATTGTTAGATAGAGTGGTGACCAAAGCAGAGATGGATCGTACTCTTTCGATTGGTATTTGATGAACAAAATAATATCAAGTTTTGAAGATATGAATGATTAATCGAACCGGACTGCAAATATGAAAAGTAACATGCTTGTTTAATTTCTATCTACACCGAAGTCTCTGTGACTCGCAGTGAAACCTATTCGACTAACTAGACTACATATTCTACCCTGTCACTGAAATACAACTTAGAAAAGGACTCACAGTAGTATTGATATATATTTTTAGTGAAAAACCCATATTTTTCGAGCTACACTTTTCGAAGAATTGTTTTTCAACATAAACAATTCTGGATGAAAAAACCCATCGTGGCAAACAAATTAAAGCTGTCGCGATTCGACAACGCCGTAGTTGAAACACAAGCGATGAGAAAAAAAATGTGCACATAGCGTCATATTTCGCTTTTTCACCGAAATAAGCAGTCAAACAATTTACGTGTAAGTGTTGAATTTTTATAAAGGCGAGTTACAATACGAGGGTGTGGGTGCTCTTCCTGTCCACATCCACTCACATCTACACCTACACTCACCCACACCCACGCCCACAACCACACCCATACCCTAGCTCATACCGTCCACACCCACACCCACACCCTCATTCTCATCCGCACCAACATCTTCATCCTTACGCATACACAAGCGCTTACTTTGCTCTGTGTGCATTATTTAGAGAGTAAAAACGATTGCAGGTTTGTTTGTTTTTGTTTTTCGGCTTTTTCCAAGTTACATTCTGTGTACATATGAATTACACTTACAAAAAAAGTAAAATACAGTGGTTGACAAACATAAGTTGCCTATGTAGTGTTGCAGATTTTTTGCTTTTAAATAAAACTCAGTCAAAGCTTGGTATACTGCCTGACAAATACAGTTTCATGTACCACACTGGAAAATCGTTTTGACAAAAAAATATGCATTGCTTTCTCGAACAACACAATCAATATTTAAAAGTATACTATAAAAAGTAAGCATCAAATGTGGGAGGGTGAGGATGAGAACGATTAAGGTAGAAATGACGGTAATAACAGAAAATATATCGATGTAGTCTGTTCGTTTTATAATCCAACGGGATTTCGTCAGACTTATCTAATACATGATACTGTTTTGAATAAAAATCATTATGTTCTGAACAGTTATCGATAGACAACACGGGTTACTACTTGTTTCGATTGCATTCGGCTAAAACTATGTTTAGAAAAACATCCCCGTGCTTAGGAACGAGACAAAACTCTAGTAAATTAACCCACTTTATTGACTGAAATTGTTCATAAACAGCGCGAGTTGCTTGGTGAACAGACACAATTCTGTATTTAAGTGAGGAAAACCGTCTGACAGTGTGCACTTCGGCTTAGCAGTATGTTCTGGATATCCAACATGTTGGTAATATTTATCTTGAGGGTGGGCGTGGGTGTGGGTGTATAATAAATGAAGACAATATCCATACCCACCCTGAAAATGTTTGCGATAGTATTATTCAAACCATTATTTTTCTGTATCCTACTTTTTTAATACAAAAAAATGATGATGAAAGCATCTTAAAACATTCACGTTCAACGTCAGTCGAATTTACCTTAATTCTAGATTTCACTCGAAAATGGAACGACCGAAAAGAGCATGTTCTTCGAAGCGTTCAACTTCAACTATCTCAAAGAAGCAACGAAGTAAATTGAGATATTCTATTATAACTAATACATTTTATAAATTTTTCTCATGTATTATAGATGAATCAACTAATTCAAAGTTTGTAAAATTAATAATATTTAAATTGAACCATTCGTTTTTGTGCTTTTCATAGACCATCCATGACAACCTTTGAAGTTTTTAGTAATGAGTTAATTTATAGTATATTCGACTACATGGATTATATAATGATTTTTAAGGCGTTTTCACAATTGAATAAACGTTTTTCGGATCTTATAAAAGCTTATCCTTCGCGCATGATCGATTTTCCAGCATGGACATCGGACAAGTCGATGTATCTTACTATAATGAACTCTGAACGACATCGAATTCAGTCCATTGCAATTCGTGGTGACAGAAATATTGATATATTCCTCAGGACATGCTGTATCGATATTACATTTCTTTGTCTCGAATCAGTTACACTGAGAGATCTTGAGCTGAAATCTGTCTTACCTATACTCTCATTTTTACAAACATTACCCGAACTTCATCGATTGTCCTTACAAATGGAAGCAATTGCTGTAATTGGAGGAGAATCCTTGAATATGACAGCTATCTATCAAATGTTGTTAAGTTTTAAGTTTCTCAAATATCTTAACGCTTCAACGAATTATCGTATTACCGAAGATACTGTTTTTTACATTAACCTTCCATCGATTTCGAATCAAGAAACATGTAATCTAGAATACTTGATAGTTGATCACGGAATCCGTATCGATGAAATATTATCAATTATTAACCACACACCTAAACTTCATCATTTGTCCCTTACGTCACTAAACGGAGGACATATTCCTCTAAAAGATATATCATCTAGAGTGCCAAAATTACTAGAACTAACTGAACTGATCATTCATGATTCTAGTCTAAATGTTGAAGACTTCGAATCTCTTCTGACTGCATTTGGTTGCCGATTGAAAACTTTAGAGATTGAAACAGATTCATATGCAAGCTTTTGCATTGATGAACAATGGGAAAAACTACTGAACACAACACTTTCTGATCTGAACATCTTTGGGATACAGTTCAATAAGCAAAAACCAGCTGACGAATTTGATGAAGATGAAGATGATGAAGCTGAAATTGAATGCCGTATTCAAAGTTCGCTTGATTTCATGTGTGACTCATTTTGGTACGATAATGGTTGGACGGCAGACATTTATGTTTTTACCAATTCAGTTCAAGCTGTGTTTCGTCGTTCTAGGTAATTTCATTATTATCTGTCTTGAAAATAAAATCTATGATTTGATTACCATTTTGAAGGTCATGCGATGTAGTAGACAACCTTCAATCTGGAAGTCAATTACAGAAATTAATTCATTTCAGTTATCGATATCATCAACTGAACTGTTCTTTCTCGTCAAGTTATCGATTAACTGTAGGTGATTCTGGACGTTTTCAAGTTGACTATCGTGAACACATTGGAAAGGAGTGCTTTATCAATTCGAAAGCGAACATTTCATATTTACCAATTAAGCAGTTAACGATTAACTGTTCGAATGTATCCATTTTGGATCTAGTAATGATCCTGAAAAAGTTACCTCATGTGAAATATCTGAGCATCAGATCAAAATCAATCTCAGAAATTGAAGATCAAGACAACGAGAATACAAATGCAGAATGTCGCTTCGATAGTATAGATCGACTAGAAATCCACGCAACCGTGCCATGGAAAACGGTTACTTGTTTGATAAAATATTTTCCAAATCTGATCAATCTCCATGTTTATTATCAATGTAGCACTCAGCTTTTCGATGCTATTTATGGTTCATTTCCATTTAATGATGTGGCTAGTGTAGAGTATGATCGAAAAACTAACCTAATCAATGAAGAAGAAGAAAAAGATTCCATTAGATGGCAGGATTTTCACCAGTCTTCGAATGAACAGTAAGATGGTTAACTATATAATACGTTCTTGAATTGTTTCATCATCTCGTCTTTTAGAATACTCGCTCTTATTCGGAAAAAGTGTGAGTGTGGGTGTGGGTGTGGGTAAGAGTAGTAGCGTAGCCATCGGGTGAGCTACGGGACGCTTCGCACCCTCTACGAAATTTTAAAATTCTTTCAGATTGTTACACGCTCTTGATTAAAAAGATTAAACACAAACACTAACAACTTGTATACGAGCTTGTCTATTTTTTGTTGTCGATGTATTCGCCAAAATGCACAAAAGTAGTAGAATTATGTTGATACAATTCAGGTATTACAAAATAATTTTCAAGTTAAACATCTTGAGGGTGTGGGAGTTGGCTTTTTCATATACCCACCACACCCACACCCTGGCTTTTGACTCACACCTTTTGTTAATATTGTCGAAGGTATATAATTTCTAGAAAGTAATCATTTATTTTAGAATGAAGATAAATAAAAATATTCCCACGAATCAAAGAATGGTAACTGATTATCGGTTAGTATTGTCTTTTCTAATACTTTTCGTGTATCGAATTGAACTCTCAACATATATTTTATTATTTTGAGTGTTGCACCATTATTAGTTTGAATCAGATAAAGTACTTCCCTCTTAACTGGATTCCATACATCTCTAATCATTTCAACCTGTTCTCCGTTAGTTTTTAATAATAATTTTAGATTTTGATTTTTATAAGGAAATTTTCCATTTTGCTTTGGATCTAAATGAAACATGTATATATCAAATAGGCTCGAACCATTCTGCCATGTACAAAGAATCAATTTTGTCTTTTGAATATCATATGTCATCGTAATAAAATAATATGCATGTAGCATAAGATGAAAATCAGTAACAATATCTTTTTTTTTACCAACTAAATTTAAATCCATTTTAATCCAATAAGAATTATAAGATGAATTATCAAAACGAGTTCGTATTTGTATAATCCAATTTTGATTATAATCAAACGCAGTACATCTTCCATTAATAAAAGCATATTTTCCAACATCTTGTTGTGTATATAGTTTAACAATATCTAATGTTTCTTTATCATATTGTTCAATGTAATATGTAAATGTTGTATTAGTTCTCAAACCAAAAAGTCGTTTTCTTAACGGATCGTAAAAAAGAAAACCAAAGTTACCATCACTATACACCCAAGGACTTTGATGATGTGTTTTTGTTTCATAATTATAAGCGACTAAAAGAAGACGTTTGAAAGCATTACCACTAGTAATAGGCAGATAAATATAACTTAAATCTGTATTCACAGCTGTAGAACCACCAATAAAATTGTACACACTTGAATGATCATGTACATCAAACGTAAAATTATTGATAAAAGAGAGTCTCTTTAATTTTGTATCAAAGACAGAAAAATTACCATAGTGTGGAAAAACATTAGAACTAAAACAAGAAAATTATCACTTATATTCATTAGTTTACACTTACTCCTTATATGGTTTAATTGTATAATATTTGTCAGCATAAACAATATAGTATAAAAGACTGAAAAATAAAACTCCAACCATCTTTATTTGCTGGAAGAGTTAAATAACAATGTAGATGAATAAAGTGTGTGTGTTATATTATTCTTATCAAAAAAGAAATAACAGTCAACATTTTATTATCAAACATCAAGTAGGAATACAAAAGCATTCTATAGAAATAAATAAAGACAACTTGTTCGCATAAAATATTGGAATCAAATGATGCCGTCATCTAATAGAATACGCTTTATTGGTATTATTAGAACAATTCGAAACATAATATCATATTAAATTAACTAACAAAGATTATTGATAAAGATCAGCGACTAATGGATGCCTTAAGGATGTCGTCATTATACGTACATTGAACAGAGATTTGAAGAAAAATCATAAGTTCTTTGACTATAAAATGTTATCTTTGGAAAATTTATTTTTGATGTGTAAAATCGTTTGAAAATAGGTTTCGCACGATCAGAGAATACGTTCTCAAGAATTGTTTCATCGTTGTAGACAAAAAAAAATTAAAATAAGAATATTAATAATCATAAACAATTATTCAACTATAAAGTTGAACGAAGTGGAGAAGTATCTCTATTGCTATTCTCGATAATGACAGGTTAACACTATAAGGAGGAAGTAATAGACAGAAGGGAGGGGAAATTAAGCATTGTTACATGTAGTTAAATAACTTTTGCTTCGAAGCTGATACTTTATCAATCTGTGGTTTAATTTTCTAAAATATTCATTTGAACTTATAATTAAAAACTATGATATCGATATAGTTTCTAAAGCTTCTCAGATTGAAAACAAAAAATATACGAAACTGAATATATTTTATCGACTTTAAACGAAATGTTTCTCCCCGGTGCTCATCATATAAATTAACAATACAATTTCATTTATCTGGACTTTGTTATGCTAACGGTTATATTTTATTTATTTAATAGTTCTATTTAAGAATGAATGCAATGCGGGGGTGAAGATTTGAAAGAGAGTGAGTGAGAACATATTTTTCTAATATCCCATTGACATTGAATAACCGCGATTGTCATTGTTGTGTGGATCGTTCTTTGTAAGATTTGTAGTGTCTTTCGATAGCGACAAACGATTAGAAATATATACGACACCCGAGTTGCTTATTGTGTGAGATCCATGCGACATTTTTCTATCCTGATTGAAAAGTCAATCAAGCTGTGTTCAATATAGTAAGACTTTATAGCGCTTAATTGTGGCCTGTTTATCTTTTCTAAAGACTAACATGAATTTTTCTACATAAATGTGCTTTAAATTCATGGTTAGAAACTACGTAATGGTATACAATCGATGTTAGCACAAATCCTAAGCCAACGAAAAGGTCTTTAGTTTTAAATCCCAGCATCAGTATGTTTTCTGTCTATCAAAGATTAATTTTTGTTTCATCTATGTCTCAGAAATCATCTGAGACTTTATTTGTTTTAAATATTTTTTGAATCTGATGCACAGTATTTGAACCAGAGAGGCCCATTTGCAGTGATCGTAATCAATCGCCTCGGTAGAGCCAATTCTGTATAGCGATTTCACCAGATGTAATCTCTTTGTCTAGCATTAGTGACCATTCGCTTGTTTTCTCCACATCTGCGAAGTTACACTCTTTGTTTTATTTATCTGTATTCGCCAAGCAGCATTCGGATTATCTTTAATCATCAGACGAAAAGCAACTCTATTCTATTTGTTGAACGAATCGAATATACGACAATTTTAGATAGACGAAATGAATCACTACTCGACATCTGCCGGTATTTGTCCTACGACCACTTATTTAAGGCTTTTGTCTATTATTGAGTTTATGGGATATGCGAGCAATTTGAAAGTCAACGGTTATTCATGTCGGTTAGACTTGTCAGTTTTCCATCGCTTGGATCGGTTACACGCGATGGGTACAGAAATATTAAACTGTGTTTTCAACAAGGACTGGCAGAGCCTGACATTAAATACATTCCGACTGTATCTTTTGATTCTAAATTGTCTTCGTATAAGTTGCATTCTAACCCGATTATTCGCTCGTTCACACTAGATGGCGTTTATTTATAGAATGTAGTAGCTGAGCTTCTTGCTCTTATGCCTGCTCTTGAGCAACACAAATTTACTCAATGGCTAGACTTGATATACACGTTGCTTCTCGCAAGCTTATTCCTTCGCTCTCTGTGGTTTATCTAGATCTGACGCTCGTGTATGCCGAAACTCCAACGGGCTGATTGTCGGATCAATCTCGAATGGTCTGAGTACACGCCGATCGACGTGCTCGTTAGAACTGTAGGAGCTGTGCGATACTTCGCTGAAATCAATTGTCGTCGTCATTTTAATAATCCGAACTTACTCGCCTTCTATACAAGTTAGCTATTCAAATAGCTAGGGTGTGGGTGTGGGTGTGAGTGAGGGTGGGTGTGTGTGTGAGGGAGTTGGCCTTTTCATATTCAGTATGCGAACACCCACCCACACCCACACCCACACCCACACCCTTTTTTTCAAAATCTCTGTGGTATCCCTTA